TTTACAAAGTGCAGTCTGTCAATATCACGATTGTTTAGTACCGGTAGTTCAATTTGTTGATTTATGAAACGCACCTTTTCTTTCGTTTTCCTGTCTGTTAGTGGGGCACATCCTTGTCGCGCACTGTTGATTCTGATGTAGGTGTCGGTTTGGGCAGAAGTTAAAGTGTTTAGAAAAGTAAAAATGTTTAGGTGGCTTGAACTGCACGACATGTTGAACCTTGAGTGGAAACTCTCACAAGTCATAATGTCATAACACATTAATGTTAACCTATGAAATGTTCAATAAAATTAAATATATGAATATAATTATATAATTAAGAATATATTTCTATAAAAATAAATCCTACATTGGCCAAACAAGTCGTAGCTTCAAGAAATGGTTCCACGAACACATACAAGCATTAAAATCAGGTAACAAAACGACAGTGAAATCAAATTTTGCAGAGCACCTAATTGAAACGTGACATGAATATAAAAATATGATCCGATTTTCATGAATTTTGGTATAAACGTGTAAACCTACGTTAACGAGCTCGCGAACCGGCATGATCGGACCATGGGAACGAGGGTTTAATGGGGGAAAAATGCATTTTTCCATCCTTTGACCCTAAAAACAAAACATTTTGCTATTTCTTTCTAAACCATTTTGTAGAGCTTAAAAAAAGAAATAATTTAGTATATTGAAGCGCTGTTGTATGCCTAACGGTCACGGAGAAAATTTATAAAAAGTGTAATTTAAAATTCCCATGTCATTCTCATGGAGAAAATGAAAACTGTTGGAGTTTACTTGTGTTGTTGTGGTTTACGGATATATTTTGATAAAATTTGGCAAATTTATTTATTTCATTCTATACAATTGACGTATGGTCAAAAAACATGTTTTACCTTTCCCGTAGTAGCAAACCTCGTTAACACTCGTTAAATCTAATGTTATTGAAATTGGGAATAAATATGTCATATTTATAAAAAAAATGTAACCAGACAAGTTGAAATTCGCTTCGTCTGCAGGTTTGCTGCGGTGGGGGTATTTTATTGTCCTTGATGATTTGTAGAAAGTTTTTCAAACATTGTACTTTTGGATATTTCATGTTTAGTTTGATATACTGAAAATAAGAATGTGTCTTTGATAAATTTCTTCAGGTGTCTAGGTCTGATAATCACAAAATTGAAAGTTCTCACCAGTATTAGAGACCACTGCTCTTCTATTGCTTATAGCTATATTTTTATAACCTTTTACTTTAGAAGATATATTTATTTATGGATAAGACCCTCACTAAAATAGTATAACAAGAGTAAACTATGGTACGTCACTCGTCCAAAATGTGTTTACTGGACTCGTATGGTAATACTTACTTACCGGTACTTACTTTTCGTCCAGTAGACACATATTTTCAGGACTAGTAACGTAATAAGCTATAATGTGCTTAATCTGCCATGTCTGATAGACAAGCGAAGAATTTCACACAAGAGGTTCATTGTTGTTGCCAGCTGTCTTCTTTCTTGATACATCAATTCACTTATATTTTGGCTTTTGAATCATCTAATTGTGGGATTTTAGGAAAACTTAACCCTTGTTTTGAATAACATGTAACATGCACTTTCTTTGGTCACTCGGGATTTTCTAGGAATTCATCGCCGCGCGCCATCTGCCTGGGCGTGGACCATGTGCCCAGCCAAGGTGAGGATTAGTGAACCCTTTTTTTACAGAGGTTTACAGATACTGTCAGATCTGAATTGCTACCGACTAAAAGAGGAGGGCTCTGTCCTAGGGCCAGTTCTGTTTGGGCTTTTTATTAATGACTTCCCGGAACACCTTGAGGAATACAGCAAGATGGTCATGTATGCAGACGACACTGTGCTGCTTACAGCAAACAGAAACATAGATCAACTAGAAGTAAACACCTATTTTGCTTTCAATATGACACAGGACTACTGTATGAAAAATGACGTCTTCAATGAAAGTAAGACCAAGCAAATGACTTTTGGAAATAAAAAGTCTACAGTATCTGAAATGCCCAACCTGACAGCAGCTGAAGAAATCAAACATTTAGGTGTCATAATTGATGAAAATTTATCCTGGGATCGTCATGTAGCTTGTCTTTGCCAAAAACTCGGGCCAGCTCGTTTTGTCATAAAACGAACCAAAGAGACTAGTACCCCTGAGGCAACGAGGACTGCATACCATACATTGTTTGAAAGCCAGCTATGGTATTACTGTCTGGGGTGGATCCACTATGGACAATCTTAACCGGGTCCTGGTTATGCAGAAAGAGCTATCAGAATAATACCCCTGCTGCAGCAAACCTGCCGACTAAGCAAATTTCCATTTGCCTGTATTGATTTTCAATTAATCTATTAAATTAAAATTTATGATTAACGAGTACCTAGGTTAGCTGCTACAGGGAAACTTATAAAGTGTGTTTTTTATTAAAATATCAATAGTTTAGTATGAAATAAATAAATCCGCCAAGTTTGATCAAAATATACCCATAAGCAAGCCAACTACAACATTTTACAATATCCACCATAAGAATAACATTGGAATTTTAAATTAACGATTTTTTGAATTTTCTCCATAACCATTCACCGACCAAAAAAAAACTTTGATATACTATATTATTTGTTTTTGTAAGCTCTTTAAAAAGGTCTGGAGAAAAATTTATAAATTTTAGGTTTTAAGTTGAAAAATGAGAAAAACCAATTTTTACCCCATAAAAACCCCCCGTTAAACCCCGTTCCCATGGTCCGATCATGCTGGTTTGCGAACTCATTCAAGTTTATCCCGCCTTACACCTTCAAACCAAATTTTATCAAAATCGGACAAAAATTACTCAAGTTATCGTCCGGACGGACACATATATATAGGGTCTCTATATATACACATATACAAATTTTAACGAATGGTGTTTTTGGCCTCTGGGGACATCAAAATGAAAAAAAAAAACGGTCCCGGGCCTAGGTCTTACCATGAGACCTACGGTAATAGCTACTTCCCTATAGTGAAATTCGGTAATTGCAGGCATAAGTAAAGATCAAAGCTGTAGAGATGCCTTTTAAACCTGAACATCCTGACGGTGACTTCCATCTACATCCTAGATACTGTTTATTACTGTGTAACCAAAGATCCGCCTAAACAAAGAGATATACATGAATACAACACCAGATATGCAGGATTCTATGTGCTGTCTGGCCACAGAACAGCAATGTTTGAAAAGAAACCACTGTATGCAGGAGTTAAGATGCTAAACAAGCTACCAGTCCACTTGAAAATTGGAGGCCCTGTGCTGATGAAGAGGAAGCTACGGAGATGGCTGCTAGACAAAGCTGTCTACACCCTAAAGGAGTTCTTTCAAGATTCAAGATTCAAGATTCAAAGAGTCTTTATTCACACAGTACAAATTTTCGTACATGAATAGTGTCTATTGTCTATTGTTACTTACTACCTAAATTAGCAATAAGAAACATTTAAACAAAATACTATAGGCTACATTATTTTAAATTGAAATTACTAAAATCTTCTATTTTGTAAGGTGCAAGGTCAAGTAAGAATGCCTTCAGATTTTTCATAAATTTAGATTTTTCTTTTTCTTTTTTTAAAAAGCTAGGAAGTTTTCTAAAAAAATAGTTTCCAATATAAGAAGGTTTATTTTTAAAAAGTTCAAGTCTTGGTTTTTCTTTAGCTAAATAATTTGTACCCCTTGTATTATAATTATGCACAGGCAATTCTTGAGTCTCAGCAATATTTAAAAAATATTTAATTGTTTCAAAAATATATACTTTGCATGGCAAGACCACACACAACACTGAAGAAGCTTTTCCATTTCACTTTGTATCTATTATACCAATGTTATTTATTTAAATTTGACTCTGTAACATTTCTTGATGAAATTGTAATAAAGGATATTGTCTATTGTCTATTGTCTATAGGGAATAAAATAAACCATCGGTTAAATTAAATTACAACAGCCACATAACCTCAACAATTTCCAAAATTAGAAGTAGAGTACCTAATTAAATTAATCAAGTAATTCCAAAACACTCTACCATATGTATTAGAGTCCCGATAGTCTGAAATTGTTGGGACCTGACCCATTTCGGACTACCAAATATTTCGGATTAAAAATATGTTTTTAAAATTGATTTTTTAATATTTTTTTTCTTGGACGCTAGGCACAAGACCAGGATTGTTTTTCACATTACTTCAGGACCTAGGGACCAAAAAAATCCATTTTTTTGGGGGGGAGCGAGCTGGCGTAGTGGTTAGAGCGCGGGACTTCAGTCCCTGAGGTCCCGGGTTCGATCCCTGCCAAGTCACCAATGGATTTTATCTAAGTGATAATGCCGCAACCCCTAGGTCTAGCCTGAAGTAATGTGAAAAACAATCCCAGGCTCGTGCCTAGCGTCCTTAGGACAAAAAAAAAAAAAAAAAAAAAAAATTGGTGATTTGGTAGGATTTGAACCCGGTACCTGAGGGACCGAAGCCCCGCATTCTAACCACTAGACCAGCTCACTGCCTGGTCAAATTGTTAAATTCATAGCTTCTACCTGTTCGGCTGCTACAGAATACTTCGACAAGGTACGACAGTGCTAGCAGTTTCGGCTTTTCCCAATAGGTGACGGCACATACTGGGTCTTCACTTTTTGTGTGCAAAATAAACTGCATTAATATCGTCACACAATGTTGCTAAAAGTTTAGACTTTCTCCGATAAGTGAGTGACAGCACGTACTGGATGAAAAAAAAATTCTTTGGTTTCTAATTGAGTGGATTTTTGGATTACCGAAGTTCGTATTATCGGGACTCCACTGTGATATATTACAACAAATATCCCTCAACAGATTGCATGACGCTAAATTTTCTTTAGTATCAGTTAGCTTAAGCTGCCAGAAAATATTGAGCTATGTTAATTGTGCTGTGCATAGGTTAAAATTCTTGTCCCTCACACAAATATTTTGTAATTTACAACCAATTATCACACTGTCCAACTGTGTTGTGACAGGCGTTCAAGTGGAGTATGCAGGCTATCCAGGAGCTGAACGAGCACTGCTCTCCTCGGGTGACCATTGAGGCTCTTAGCCAGGCCAGCAAGGCGTGTATTGTCAAGCGAGAGTTTGTCAAGGCAGGGGAGCTGGTAAGACAAGCTGTACACCTAGCCAGGGATATCTATGGACCACAACATCCCAAGTTTGCAGACACACTGTTGGACTATGGCTTCTACCTGCTCAACAATGACTGTATCAAACAGAGTGTCGCTATCTATGAGGTAGGCTTTACTATGTACAGTAATAATATGTGGAGGGACTTTAACAGTTTGACATTTGATAACAGTAGTTCATTTGTCAAATTAGAGCAAGTAGTTTGGGAAAAGTCAAGTACCTACATGTGACAAGTATTTTCCATTACCTAAAAGAAAATTTTATTTTTAAACTTCACTGATTTTTATTAATAAACTAAACCGTATCAGCAATCTGACACATACTTTCTCCCGTAAGCTTGTCAACAACCTTTATCATGGGTGGTGGGAGTAACTATGATATTTGATATTTGAAAATCTTTAAAGTTGCAATAACTTTTGAACTATAATTTTACGGAAATGGGATTTGTACAATTTTGTTCAAAATTTAAAGGATATTACATACTAATTTTAATTGAAACCGGCTTATTTCTAGAATTTGATTTTTTGTTATTTTATGGGGTTTTTATGCAAAAATTACTATTAAAAAAAACACCAGGAGATACTATGGATGAATACATACATACAAAAATTTCATCAAAATCGGACAACATGTGTGGTCTGTAGCTCTGTACACATCCACACACACACGCAGTAGAAATGTGCGAGTACTCGAGATTTCGAGTTCGAGTCGAGTACGGCCTTGAAACTCGAGCTTATCTTTGAACTCGTCAGTTTCGAGTCGAGTTTGGTTTGGATTTGTAAAAGGATATACAAATAACAACATAAAAACATTATTATACTTTCTATTGTTCTTCCATTCTTTCTTGGGGTTCCCTCCACGCATTCAACAAGTTGCCATGGTTACTAAATGCCGTCGAGATAGCTCCGGATCCAATCTACTAATCTCAAGACTTCCTTATTGACAATCAACTACTGTAACTCGATAAATTCATTCAATTTTTTATTTTGTTTAACTTACAGTATTGATGACTTTGACTGTTGACTGTTGTAGGAAAGTAGTAGTGTAGTCCTCTTGCTAGCTCTGCCGAATGACGATATGGATGGTTGTTTGTTGAACATTTAGTTTACGCTGGGCTGGACTAGCCTTTGTATTAAGTTGGATGGTTGTTTTTTTTTTTTTTTTTGTAGGAATGGGGATTAAATAAGGCATCAACACAAAACATATCATTTATTAAATACCGTATGGGCATAGAAGAGATCGCGGCAAAAGCGTGAATTTTTCAGCCGCGTGAACTTACGTTGAGGATGCGTTTATTACGTTGCAGATGCGTTTTACGATCGCGATCGTAAAAGCTCGGCTCGAGCCTGATTTTTCGACTTTAGGCACGATCTCTCAAGCTTGTAGGCCAGGCTCGGCTCGGCTCGAAAATGGAGCTGCTCGCACACCTCTAATATTTGTTCATTAAAGGATATCTTTACTATCAATTCTGCACAGCAGTATATTTTTCCTTTTGTCTACGTCAGTGCGGAATTTCCCCAATGAAGTAAATTTCTTAAACACCTTTAAGGGACTTTGAATACTGCAACTAGGAACTAATAGGAAGGAGTCTACACTAAGTATCACATTGTAAAATCTAAAGCCCTTTTTTAACCTATGTTTCATGTGTGGTTACATTTGAGTCTCCTGATGGTATTGTACAAATATTAACGTAAACTAGCATTTGATTCTAACCTTTTGACATTAGACAAGTTTATTCTGGTTTTTTAGCAAATTTCCCATATAGGGAATAAGCTATTACTGTAAGTCTCATGGTAAGACCTGGTCCCGGGACCGATTTACTTTTTCGTTTTGATGTCCCCAGCAAGGGCGATACTAGACATATATTTTTTTTGGGGGGGGGGGGGGGGTAATCCATATCCCCCAGCAAAGGAGGAAATTTGAAATAACATGCTAAAGTGAGTGGTTTTTAAGCTATTTTGAGGACCTAGTTTAATGTGTTCAAGCTTCCCAGTTTATTTAAAGGTCATAGAAATGTCTAAAAATAAACTTGTATAATGTCATGTTTTTGCATTATTGAGACTTGTGGTTTTAATATCAAAGGAATATCGCAACATTACTACACAATCAAGCATAATTGATTTACAAAAACACCTTTACAACTGGTGCCGATGTGCATGCTAAACAGAAAATGTCCAAAATCAGACCAAGATTTCGAACCAGAGAACTTATTTTATCTAAGAAGTGTTTAAGAACTTACACCCAACACGACTGCATTATACCTGCCCAGTAAGCAACAGTTAACCTACACAAAGTAAGGGCTCAACGTGAGAATAAAGTTTTTGTGCTACGTTTTTGTGGTTGTGCCGGGAATTAAATCCGTCCCTTCCGCATCTAAGTCTGAGACACTACCATTTTGTTGTTGTTTTGTGGCTAGCAACATGCCAATTGGGTTGTGATATTCTTAAATATGATATCATGTGCTCTAAATATGAGTACTATTTATTATTGAAAGTTTAGAAATTTGCTACGGTAATCATTGAATTACATTACTGTAATGACAAATTCCTAACGCTTAACTCAGATAAATTAACATTCAACTACGGTACTATTTCAACTACCTATTGATACAACTTCTTTTCTTTATCCAATACCCAATTCAAGTTTTCAATAATCTAGGTTAAAATGAATGATAACATTAAATGCCGAAAAATTAAATGAGAAGAAGAATGCGGCCGAACGTCGAACGTCAGCATCGGACACTGCCGTTGCTGTATACATCGGTGTATAATAACTATTATACATCGATGGCTGTATATGGCTGAAAGCGTCCGTCGTCTGCCGATCTTCCCTACTTTTCATAACGTATAAAAAATAGTCAGACTCAAAGGATCCCGAGTTTTAGGTTAGAGTTTGTAATTAGTCCTTTCGTTCGCCACAAGTGTAAAGATTACAATGAATTTCAATTTGGTAGAACGATTTGCAATAAAAATAATTTAAGTTAGTTTATGTATATAACAAAAATAAAGTAAAATAAAGTTGAAATGTTAAAAGGAAGCACTGGCTCTCAAGAAAGCCCTGTATGGTCGTTACAACCTACATGTGGCAGTTGCTCAGGAAGATCTTGCCTACGCTCTCTACGTGCACGAGTACAGTTCAGGCAACTTCAGGATTGCAAGGTAACCCTCAAATAATCTATCACTATCATTGATTTTAATTAAGCACATTTAAACAACTAGTAACTTCTGAATATAGTAAGAGTTAAAATGTCAATATTGGAAGTTAATTAGAGGTGAGCAAATATCCGAAGATTTTGGTCGGATTAGGTTAGATAATATCCGTAATCGAACTGAGCCCAAATTTGATGTCCGTCACTATCCGTTAAATGTCTGACTGTTTCAAGTAGACTGTAAATTATGTCTGAAGACAAAATCTTCATAAGTTAATAATCTAATCATCATTCAGTGTCAGTTGCTTTCTTAATGTTTTTCTCTTTTGTTTTGTTCAACAACACTATTACATGTATCACTAAGGCTGTGTTATTAATGTAATTGTTGTCAATTCTCAATTATTTTGTCTGTCTTGTTTACGTATTGCAATCATCACTTTGTTAAATTTTCATATTGTAGCCATTAAGCAAATATCTATCTTTTGTGTAGTTAAGCATGTACTATACATACATTTATTATTATCAGTTGTAAAAATATGTCATGATGTTAACTAGGGGTGGGCGAGTAGTGATTTTTCAATTCGAGTCGAGTCGAGTATTTGAGTAAAAACTCAAGTATCGAGTCGAGTCGAGTAGTTGCGCGTTAAGTAGGCCTAGGCCCAGGGTTTAAGACATAAGACATAAGACGTTTATTGATCTTTAGGCAAAATTACATGCAATAGATCTTGTCATGGATGCTTGAAATGCACAAGACAGTCATAAGTACAATAGTAAAACATGCTGACTAAAGCAAACATAAAAATAAGTGTACATTCTCAAAATTAAATAAGATTGGCTATTTTGGGGGGAAAAAAAACTAAAAAACATCATGCAAAATTGATGGAGCTAAAATCTGCTTCAAAGTATTCTTTAAGGCTGTAGAAAGGCCTTACTATCAACCATGCATATATCACATTCTTAAAACTACCTAAGCTAACATGCTGAGCTGAAAAAGGCAAGCAATTGAAAAGGTCAATACCTGTAGCTTCGAAGGACGTGAGAACCTTGGTCAGTCTTGTGTAGGGTCTGCAGATTTTGTTTTGACCTCGTGTACCATGGTTGTGTACGTGCCTGTGGAGAATGAGAGTGTTTAGGTGCTTTTTGGTATGTAAGAGACATGCAAAAATGTACAAGTTGATTACAGTTTGAATTTTTTCCTGTAAAAAAATAGGTTTGCAGTGTGTATTTGTGTCAGAGTTAGTGATGATTCTCAACATCTTCTTCTGGGCTACTAACACACTACTTATGGAGCTAGAATTTCCCCAAAACATCAAACCATAGACAATTCTACTTTGAAAAAGAGAGAAATAAACCATTCTTAAGCAATCAGGGGATATGCAGACTTTTAACTTTCTAACTAAACATATTATTCGGTGTAGAGATTTACATAGGTGTTTGACATGCTCATGCCATGTTAGTTTCGCATCTATGTGCATACCTAGGAGCTTAACACACTGAGAGAATTCATTTTCTAAATTACCAGCACTGGTCAAAGTAAAAACAGCAGTTTGAGTTTTTTCCCTATTCATTAACAACATATTGGCTTTGTACCACTCATTTGCCTGATTAAGAATATTATTAGCAGCCACTGGGATTTCAGTAAGTACCAAATTTTTTGTGAGAAAGGTTACATCATCAGCAAATAAGATGGATTTACATTCAACATTTGAGGAAAGATCGTTTATGGCTATTAGGAACAGTAGAGGGCCCAGTACCGATCCCTGTGGTACCCCGTACTTAACCTCAGTTACATTAGAAAATGAGTTGTTTGACGAAACTTTTTGGAGCCGATCACTGAGGTATGATTTCAACAAAGAATTTTGATTGCCAATGATTCCATAAAAATCCAATTTGTGCAAAAGAATATTACGATCGACACAGTCAAAGGCTTTTGACTAATCACAGAGGACTGCGCCTGTGGGATTTCCGCTTTCAAAGCCAGCAAGTACGTGACTTATGAACACTTCGACTGCATCGATCGTAGATCTACCAGGCCTGAAACCATACTGACAGTCAGTAAAAAGGTTATGTTGTTCAAAAAAGTTACTTATTTGATTTTTTATTACAGTTTCAAAGACTTTTGAAATAACAGGGACCAGAGAAATCGGCCGGTACCCTCCTGGATCACTCCTGCTACCTTTTTTGTACACAGGCACAACTTTAGATATTTTCAGTTTGGATGGGAAAATCCCCTCATTTAGACTGGTATTAATACATAAAGCTAAAGGTACAGCTACTGATTCCATTAAGGCTTTTAAAAGGACTGATGATATGTCATATACATCACAGCTTCTAGATGACTTCATATCTTTGATAATCTTTAGAACACTCTGGCCACTCACTGGAGTCCACTGTAGGTTGACAGGAGGTTTCTTCAGATGGTCAGTTAGCAGTTCACCAGCGGTCACGTCTGTGGGTTCGATGCTCTCTCGAGTCTCCGTCACAACCCTCTGGAAGAAGTCACTGAAAGCCTCTGCAGATGGCTGAGGATGGACAAAAGCTGAATAGGTCCCACTCTCTTCCTTGACTACTTGCCAGGCTGCTTGGCACTTATTTTTTGCAGCATTAATGAAGTTGGTGTTGTGATCCTTCTTAGCTTTAAGTAACATGGACTTGTATTCCTTGCTTACTATTTTGTATTGATTTTTGATAGCTTCCTCACCAGTAGAACGGGCACAGTCGAGTAAGAGCAAAAGGTAGTTCCTCATACGTGCAAGTTGTGGAGTAAACCACTTCTTTTGCTTTGATTTCCTGTTGAGCGAAGATCTAGTCTTCAATGGTACAAATAGGTTTAACCAGTACATAAATATATTGTGAAATTTGTTATACCTGTCCTCTGCGTTCAGACCGTGGAGTTCAGCATACCAATCAATGTTCTCGAGGCATTGCTTGAGATCATAAAGCTTCAGGTCGTCGAATGGCCTATAGGTTAGAATGGCATTCGAGGGAGGCTCCTCGTTTTCACACAGAGTTGCATTTAGGTTAGGCCTATTAATTTTGACACTTAGAAAACAGTGATCGGATATTGGCCAGTCATGCACATCAACCGAGTAGTTAAAAGGTTTAATATTAGTCAGTATATAGTCTATGCATGCATTTGCCCTTGTAGGTCTGTAGTTGGTGCAATAGATATCCGCCGATCGGAGAATATCATGAAGCCTGAGCGTGTTAGGCTGTTGTCCAGATGCTTCGATGTTCAGGTCACCGCATATTACTATATCTTGATCATATTTTGTCAAAAAGTCTAGTAATAAGTCCAGTTTTTGAAAAAATACAGTATCACTACTGCCACTGGGTTTGTAGAGTGAAACAATAATAGTGTTCCATGTCTTAAGCCTAATGGCACAGGCTTCAAAATTTCTCTCTACACAGAACTTACTAATGTCTATCTCCTTAAACTCCGTATCTGGAAGAACATATATCGCTGCTCCTCCATGTCCAAAACACGAGCGAACATATATTGACGCCAACTGATAGCCTGAGATATTATAGAGTAAATAGTTATCTGCGGCTAACCAATGTTCAACTATACACAAGATGGTATACAATATAGGAAGAGCCACCATTTCGATGTCTATAAGCTTGTTGGTAATACACTGCACATTACCGTACAATATTCCGAGCGTTGGTTTATTATTTTGTACACAAGTTGCTTGCGTCGATTCCGAGGAAACGTTACTTAGGCTTGTCGTTGGCTTCCTAAAAAAACCTTAGATCTCACAAAACGGCTTGATTTCTTTTGAATGAATTTTTGAATAAGTGTTCCTTCCGGCCAAAACTCAGCGCACAATACTTTGTCCAATTGTAAGGGTTCCACTCCTATTTTGAAAGACCTATAGCTATTGTAACGAGTCGAGATCTCCTCACAGCATGCACTTTCTATTCCGTTATCAGCCAAGTAGTCATTAACTAAAGAATTATTTACAGAAACGTCTAGTCTAGAAATAAAGATCCAGGATTTATTAACTGCTTTGTTTTTGACAACAGTCTTCAGATTTCCAACAGCACTAGATTTTGTTCCTATGATTGGGACTTCAGTCTTCTTAATAGGCCTATTACTTACAAGTTGACTACTATCCTTAGACCTATGCCCACTCTCAGTTGAAGGGTTGATTTGAGAATTAGGTTGTTTATATCTATTAGAAGAAGGTAATTTCAAAACATCAGAGAATAGTTTACCTGATTTTGTTTGTTGGTTCGATCCATGAACTTCTGAGTTTACAGCAGGACTAGTAGTGGCTTCAATTTCTAAACCAAGGGAGGTTATGTTATTGACAGATGCAGATACGTTACTATGTTGTTGACTGTTTGTAGAGTCTGAGCATAGAGTCAAGCTTAGGCCTATGTCTGGTTGATTACTCGATGTTGATCCATCAATTTGATGATCCTCCACTGGTTCGACTTCGGTTGGTTCGATTTGCAGACAGCTAACCTGTTGTCCTAACCTAGCATTTTCGTCAATCAGTCTATCAACTTTTTCATTTAGTTTTTTGTTATCACTAAGTATATTGTTAACTTTTCCCACCAGTAAGTTGATTGTTTTACTGATATTGGTTAGATCTGTAGCTTGGCAGTCCGAATCAAATATACAGTATACCTTTTCCAAACACGCAGCACAGAACCAATGTACAGACGACGATAGTTTATTGATTTGCGTATACTCCCTTGAGCTAATATTTACACAGTTTATATGAAACCACTTTTTACAGAAAGCTTCACACTGTAAACCTTTGTCAGTTTCTTGAACGATTATATTACATTTATTACAAAACTCGGAACCGGCACACGTGTTAACCGTATCCAACGCCATTAGCCAAAAAAACAGTTTATGCTGTGGTAGTATTTTTAGCATCTTGCTATTCACAACTTAAAAATTCTAAGTTTAGATTGTTTTGCAGGATAGGCCTATGGCAAATTTTTTACAAATAAAATTGAAAGATGTAATGTTCAAACAAATGTAATATTAGCCTA